CCTCCAGCAGAACCAGGCTCAGTGTGAGCGGCCATCTGCTGAGGCCCACTGGGGTTCAAGGAGACAGAAGCAGACATAGAAATAGAAGCATAGATACAGAAAGAAGCAGAGAGGTGTATGGTTATAACTGCCTTCTACTGATGAAGGTCGACAATAAAAAGATGAAACTCTCCTTTCTTCTTCCAACTTTCTATTAATTTCTATGTTTTAAAGCTTGACATCCTGTTTGTATGGAGGGTCTGTTCTGATGTGGTTTGTTCTTCGTTCGACTCCCTCTAGTGGTCTGGAGTTCTTCTGTTTTGTGGAGCAGGCATTTTGCTTTTGCTTTCAGTTTTTTTTGTGTTTACAGCATTTTTCTTTTGCATTTTTATTTTTGTGATTGCGTGTTTATAGAGTTTGTACACAGATGTTGTCTATAATGTGCTGCGTGTTTGCAGCCATTGTCCAGCGTAGAATTTTTTTTTCTAATCTGAGGAAGTCCAGCTCATTTACCCGGCCTGACCTACAGGCTGGAAGCTCTGAGTTGGTTTTTTATTGCATTTTTTAAATGTAATTAGTGATTTTTCTATGAAGCTCCTCCCATTCTAGGGATCTAATGAAATACCTGCCTCTAACAGGATGATGTGTGTGTTACAGGATCGAACACCTGAGCCTGAACATGGCCATGCAGCTGCTGGTTGGAGTGCCTCTTGAAATGGTCCATGGGGCCCAGAGGATCGGCCTGATCTACGTCTGCGGGGTGCTGGCAGGTGGGGCTGAGCTCTAAGCGTCATCCTGAACACCCGGTGGATCCTCCGTTAGACCATCTGCTGGATATCTGTCTCCATTTCACAACATTTTAGAATCAGCCCTGTGTGAGTGTGCGATGAGCTGAAGACAGATGGTTTGATCTGTGATCACCCAGCAGACGGGGTGAGATGTCAGTTCTCCATCTAAAGTCCCCCATATTCATTACCGATGGAGCAGAAGGAGATGCATGGAAACACCTTCAGTACTGATGAAATATGAAGAGAGACAAACATGGTGGCCATGACTCCTGTTTGGAAATAAGTCAGAAAGCCTCAGAGGAGCG